CAAATTTTTATGACAAAAATATATCTCTTAGTCCTGAAATTGGTCTCCCAAACCCACTGAGACTATCTCTTAGGCTGGCGCCTTAGTCTATTTGACTCCCAAACCAACAATATTTAGGCCTGAGATTATCCCTGCACAAGTTAGGTGCGCGCCTAACTGATCCCGAGCTCACAAATCGAGGCGGCAGCTTAAATTACCGGAAATATCTGGTTTTAGTCGCGGACTAGAGCTAATACCGAGCTCCCAAACCGCCTCTAAATGACTGTTCCTATTTCTGTATCATTATATATCAATGGAATAAATACTCTTGACTCTTGATTAATAAAATGAATTTAAAAGGGTACACAAGTGTTTAATAATGCATTTAATGATTTATATTGCGAGTCCCATGCCTCTATTAAAATTAAGGTATCTTAAAAGTTACACTCGCTTAGCTGTAGTCGAGAGGTGAAAGGTTGAAAGAGACATAAGACTGCTAAGGTGTGACTCAACTTTTAATAAAACAAAATAAATTTAATAAAAAAAATTACAACGTAAATTTACAAGAAAAGAAAATTAATAGAAAATTTAAAAGACTGAGTTACTAACAAATTATATGACTTGTTTGTTTTACATCTTTAAAAAATTTAGTAATATATTTATATATTTTTTTTTACATACTGCTAATTGTCCCAGAAGCAGACGCACAGACACACACACTCGATACTCCGATCTTCGTTGTCCTCTCGCCCGTGGTAATCTCCTAGATTTTTTCTTTGAGGTCCTCCAATTCCGAGACTCCTCACCCCTCCATCTTCTTCATTAGACCTTCTAATTGGCTGATTACCGATAGGGTGTGTGGCTTATAGGTTAAAGTTGTTTCTCGGAAGCGAGCCCGATTGCATAGCTACCGGTCATTGCATAGCTCACGTCAGCTGGGAAAGGAATTTAAAAATCAATGCTCATGCTACTGTTCAACTCTGTTCACACCAACTGGTTGACTAAGTGTAGACAGATAAGTGCAGATAAGTGTAGAGATGTGAACAGAGTGTCTGCGTAGATGAGCACCGTGGGTATAGAGTTAATCCCCTATCTTACAATATATATATTTGTTATGTATTTGTTTATATATATATATATTTGTTATTTGTATATATATATCTGTCTGTTAGCGGGAAACTTGAAAAAATAAACCTATGTTTATTCAAACAAGTTCACGAACTAGCATGATCAGACTATGGGAACACCACTATGGGTTTATGGGGTAAATATTGGTTTTTCCCATTTTTGATCCTTTGTAGTGAATAAAATCAATAGTCAATGATACATACAACTCAAGGCGTATGAAAGAAGGTGTGTGCATAATGACGTCAGTGCGAGTAAAACGTGTTTTATTTTACCAAATCATATGTTTTCTTGTAACTTTCCAAAGACTTTCGAATGACAATCATTACGAATTAGCATTGAATATATAACACCACGAATACTAGACAAATGTTTTTTTTCTAGTATTTGTGTATAACACTATTTAGTTATATATATAACACGAAATAATTGCGACGATATTAAGTATACATTTGGTTTTAAAATAATAGACAGTTTTCATGTCGTGGTATGCTTAATATCATCGCAATGATTTTGTGTTTGGACTCAATATTCTTGTTATTTGATGCAGGTTACAAAAATGACGTTATTTAATACACATTATGGTGATATACAAACATTTTACCAACTGTGCATTGAGCCCAGTGGGTGACTCATTGTTAAAGCTCCGAGCAGCCGAGCGAGGGCTAATTTAGGGGCTGGGAGCTGGGACACCACCCGACCGTCCTAATCCTTCAGCCGCCACGAATCTTTTATTGGCTGAAGAGGACTAAGTCCTAAAACAGCCTCAGTCCAGTAGGGTTTCAGCTCTCTGGATTGGAACGTCACGAAGAACGAACAAATTTTTGCGGAAGGTATAACTACTACTCACTCTAGTACTACTAGTAGTTGACGCTACTACTATTCATAATGAATGTGTAAATAAAGATTAATTGTCTATTGTCTATTGTCTATAGTACTCACTCACCCCTACCCCAGCACTGCAAATAACCGGTATCCGTAAGTTTTAGTTGGGCTAGCGACCTGTCCGCGCGCACAGAAGTTTTGGCCAAACTGTATGTTTAGTTTAAGTCATTAAAATGTTATAAACTTAAGCTATAGGTATGCCATTTTGTGCTGTTTTTGTTAAATATATGTAAATACAATCTTGCCCATTTATTTGTAACTATTTATTTTCCACTAAGGCTACTTAAATGAGAGATTTTCAATTATATAAAACATAAGTAGGAGCTGAAAAAAGGTATTATACTTAAAACTATTTGTATATTGTCACCTAAAAATAAGTTGCCTGTTAAGGCAGCCACAGTTACAATATTTACTGCTTTACTGTTTTTCGATTAAAAGGTACTCACTATCAAAATGCTATATACTAATACTACCCACCATTGAATATACTGTATAACACTATGGCTATATTCAATACTGAATACAACACTATATTGGATATAAAACGCTAAAATAGTGTTATATATTCAATGCTAATTCGTAATGATTGTCATTCGAAAGTCTTTGGAAAATTAGCCTACAAGAAAACATATGATTTGGTAAAATAAAACAAGTTTTACTCGCACTGACGTCACTATGCACACACCTTCTTTGATACGCCTTGCATACAACTAAACTTACCTCACATGATTTAATTGTTTAATATGTTTATTGTCATATGTTATTAGTAAATACTCAGCTTTGTTTATATTATAACCTCTTGGGATATGAGATAAGTAATAAAACCATCCGACCCGATCAAGATAGACTGAAACCATTACAGAATCTACCGCTGCCTACAGACACTGCTTCATTGAAAAGCAGATGTATATGCTGATAGGTAATAGGTATAGGTAATAGGTAATAGGTGATAGGTGATAGGTATGCTGTCTCACTACTCAAAGTGGGTCCCCCATTACTCAGAAAAAGTCCATTGTTTAATACAAACTAAAACATTTCTAGTTTCATCTCAGGCTGCCGCAAGCTTTGAAAATCTGAAGCAAGAAATAATCAAATCAGCTATTTCTGCTATTGATGAGGATATCCCCTTTGATGTTGAAACTGATGCATCCGAGCATTCAATTGCAGCAAGTCTTTCCCAGAACGGTCGACCTGTTGCATTTTTCTCAAGAACCTTATCATCAAGTGAACAACACATCGGTGAACACACTCTGCTGTTGAAAAAGAAGCTTAAATGCTATTGTCGAAGCTCTGAAAAAGTGGCGACATTTCCGTATTGGTTGACACTTCAAACTCATTACGGACCAAAAATCTGTGTCCTTCATGTTTGATAACACCCACTCAAGCAAAATCAAGAATGAAAAAATACTTAGGTGGCGATTGGAGCTTGCATGCTGTAGTTATGACATTATTTACAGGCCGGGAAAACAAAATAATGTTGCTGGTACCTTATCCCGAGTCTGTGGATCAACCAATTCAAACAAGCTGCATCAACTGCATGCTCAACTTTGTCATCCAGGAATCACAAGGATGGCACATTGGGTGAGAAGTCAAAATTTACCATACTCTTTGGAAGAAATAAAGAGAATGACTGCTTTGTGTCCCACCTGCGCGGAAATAAAACCTCGTTTTTACAGACCTCGACAAACAACACTTATAAAAGCAACTGCTCCATTCGAAAGGTTGAATATAGATTTCAAAGGACCATTGCCGACAAATTCTAAAAATAGGTACTTGCTGACTATAGTAGATGAATTTTCACGCTTCCCATTTGCGTTTCCGTGCCAGAATATGACGACTAACACAGTGATTTGTTTTGTTTATTCGGTCTGCCTTCTTTTATTCACACTGATCGAGGTGCATCATTCATGTCAAGAGAACTAAAAGATTTCTTAAACTCAAAAGGTGTAGCGACAAGCCGAACCACACCATATAACCCACAAGGAAATGGTCAAATCGAGCGGTATAATGGTACAATTTGGAAAGCAATTACACTATTGTTAAAAAGTCGCAATCTTTCAGTACATAATTGGGAACTTGTATTAAATGATTCCCTGCACGCTATTCGTTCGCTTCTATGCACAGCCACAAACCAGACTCCACATGAACGGATGTTTATTCATTCGAGAAAATCCTCAAACGGTCAGTCCTTACCAACTTGGCTTCTTGAATCCCAAAAAGTAGGCCTATGATTGAAAATAAATGTAAGACAAAGTAAATATGATCCATTGGTTGACGAAGTTGATCTGATTGACGTAAATCCTAACTACGCAACAATACGACTAACAAACGGAGAAGAAAATACAGTGTCTCTTAGACACAGTTGGCTCCAAGAGGAGACATTGAGCTCACAAACCGTTCTGAAGAGTGTACGGAGCAAAGTGTAGATGAACCTGAGCTTGCTGACATCAGGGAAGAATGTCATTTGACCATAAATGAAGACACCGTCTCTCAGACAAAACAATAGCAACTGAACACACATGTTCAGTCGCTTCCAACTGTCTATCCATCTCAACCAAACACCAGCCAGACCAAAGCTGGCCAGTTGAATAGTTTAAGTGATGGTCAAGCAACACTGAGGCGAACATCAAGAATCAGATTTCCTCCAAATACCTGAAAGACTATTCTCTATCTAGGAGGGGAGAATGTAGTGAATAAAATCAATAGTCAATGATAAATACAACTAAACTTACTGTACCTCAAATGATTTAATTGTTTAATCTTGTAGCCTATCACCCAAGGATTATTCTGGATGTCCTGATACAGTTGCTTCCAGCACCTGATGTTACTCCAGTTGATATCACCATGGTCATCTCGCATGGGGGCCTTGTGCTCTGCCGATCTAGCATTACCTTCAGGCCGGTTTCTGGCATGCTGCGCTGCTCGTCAGAGCCCTAGGCACATTCTCTGGGGTCCTGCAATCTTGGGTTTCCACCAGTAAACCCCAGTGGCTTCTTTCTGTGGTGGGCGAAAGTCCTAGGCATGGAACAGTCAAATGCCGAAGATGGTGGGACGCATCTTCAATGTGGCTTGAAATTCGGCACTTCTAATGTCCCCAACAGTTTGATTTTTGATGTAACCCTGAAAAGTGGCCTGGCAAAGACGACTGAGGTCCCAACATTGAGACGGATGAGCTGAATTGGCATATGGATACCCAACTCAGGAAAGCTCGGGAAGTTCCCTGAAGACGATTGCCTGATAAGTCCCTTGCAGAGTAGTCCTTGGAGACTCACCAGTCCGTGACTGGTGGGCTAGGGCTTCAGATGCCAGAGAGATGTTAGGGATCATCTTTCCTTGCCAGGGGTGACAGATGATGAAAATGTCACCTGTATTAAGGATATATGAAGGTAGCCTGGCTGCCATCTCTACAACATACTGACTATCTTACGATATGGTAAAGTAAAGTAGTAGGGCTACAGTAGTAACGAATGCGTAAATACAGTGTTAACGCCACGAGTAGAAAATTTAAGGTACGACCCTTGGCGAGGGCTTTAAAAACTTCTACGAGTGTCGTTAACACTATTTACGCGAGTTGCGTACACCACTTTACCTAAGACATTTTTATAATTACTTAAAATCACTACTCATAACTTCTAAGAAGAGAGGTTATGTTTTCGTTTATAGTATCATTGCCACTGAAAATTATGCAACGAAACATTGTACCAAACACTGATTGTTAAGCACCACTCGACAATTAAATTAGCCGATTAGTTCGAATCATTACAATTTTAATTCCTCTATCTCAATAGTTTGTTGAACCCATGGTGGAAGGAAAATACAAAGGTGTGCTATTCCCGTCATTTGCTGTTGAAGTCACAGTCACCAAGATTGCAAACACCATTTCACCGTTTAGAACAAAAATATATAAACAATAACAATCAAATCAAAAACAAATATATATATTTAAATATGGCAATACTGTACAATTAGGTGATTTTTCGTTTGCAATCTGGGTGACGTCAGAATATGACGGGAATAGCACACCTATGTATTTTCCTTCCACCATGACTTGAACCTCATTGGTCCGTTACCTGTGTTATGAGAAAACTATGATGTTATGAGAAACTTTTAAATTCTAACAACTGAACTGAAACGGCTTTAATAAACGGTCGTAGGTAAATGTATTAAAATGTGAATCCAAATATATAAAGTTTTAAAACTGTTTCGGGTAAACATTTGTTTGATCATTCACACAACAAATTCAGCAGTATCTGATGGTTCAAAAATAGTGTTTCCTCCCATGCAACACCTAAAAGGTTTAAATTATTGTATTTTGAAATGTTTATAATTCTTATGGGTCATGTAAGGGATGTCCTTACCCTCAATGTATAATGGTTCTCACTGTTATAATTTATTTCTGAATGTTGTAGAGCAATGAAACATCACAAAGTAATTGTTGGAGTTTCTATAGATTGACAAACCTAATATTATTTAGCATTTTCGAGCAATATTGCTGCTTTTAAATACATCGAAATACATTCAGTGATTATACATAGTTCCTTAGTGAATTTTCTCAAACCAGCCTAATGACCTTGCACCAAGGTCCCTTTCATATACCAACTCCCTGATTCCTGGTCCTGCTTTAATGACGCAAGTCCAAAGTACAGTAAAGAAAATGCTTTGGTGAAAAAGTATTATGGATTTGGTGTTAGTGCCTTAATGTAGTTAAAACTGCTTGAGCAGCTGATCAACTGATATGAATGTGGATAGGCCTACTGTTAAATAACATATTTTTATGTATGAAATGGTCTTCGTTCATTCTCATACGTGACTTCGGAGCGTACTCCTAGTATGTTTATTGTCATATGTTATTAGTAAATACTCAGCTTTGTTTATATTCCATTATAATGCAATTCCTTGTTGATAGTTCAGTTTTAAGATGAATAAAACCCTTTATTCTGTTTGTAATTAATCTGGGGTTTTACTTTCATTACATCCTTAAAACATAAACACTCACTCAATCACTGGTGATACAAATGTTTACCCACTTCTAGATTTTTTATCCCCCCAAAGATCCAAAATGGCGGACATCTGAAAAAAAAACACTTTTTTACGGCTGTAACTCGAAAACCGTACGAGCCAGAAAAGAATTGAAAGAATTTTCATGGTCAGGAATTAAATTTTCTACATAACCCTTTGAGGCGTTTTCTGAAAAAAAGGGGAAAAAACACCCCTTCACCCCTAAAAAAACCGTACTTAATTTGAGACTTCAATCATGAAAATCGGTCGGGTAAAAGAGCCAAACAAACTCGGCAAAGAAAAACCAAATTTAACTCCCATAAGAAATAAATCGGGAGTAAATTTAGTTTACGTATAAACCGAGTGGGATTATAGATAAATATATGCTGATGCTTGATGGCAAATCTGTGCGTGCATACCTTCAATTTGAGACTTCAATCATGAAAATCGGTCGGGTAGAAGAGCCAAACGAACTCGGCAAAGAAAAACCAAATATAACTCCCATAAGAAATATATAGGGAGCAAATTTCGTTTACGTATAAGCCGAATGGGATTAAAGATAAATATATGCCGATGCTTGATGACAAATCTGTGCGTGCATACCTTCAATTTGAGACCTCAATCATGAAAATCCAAACAAACTCGGAAAAGAAAAACCAAATTTTTTAATTATATAAGATAACTCAAAGCCCCTATTTAATAAGCCCCCTACAATAAAGATATTTAAAATTTGTTATGTGTACCCATCAACAAAAAATTGAACCCCCCCCCCCCCTTCAACAGTTCTTGGCCCACTGTCTTTCATCGTAGTATGGACTTAAAATCTTTTACAGTTAGGCCTACTAGTCTTTGTTTTAAAACCAAGGAATGATTTAGAAAAGCGTATAAAATTTACACCCCCCCCCCCTTCCGAAAATCAACACCCCTTAATATTTCTGATTCAAAAACACCTCAGTTGAATTCGACTACAGTGCTTAGTATTTTACCAACTTCTTATTATTGTATTATTTTAACCAGTAGCAGAATTTTTCTCCTAGGATATTTCCAACAATCCCCCAATCAAAAACTGGGGCCAGGGGGCGAGCCAAGGACAAGTTTAGTAAAATACGATGAAAGGTAGATCAATTCAATTACTGTATTACAAACAATTTGTTGTAAAGTCCTGCTATGAAATTTATGAGCCAGACTCGGTAAACAGATATTTAAATAAAAATAATAAATTCCGGCTTTTCTCTGGAAGTAATAAGTCCTGCAGTCTGTGGTTAACCTTTAAGAACTATTTCAAAACATGCCCACATGTTTAGTTGTAAACCAAGTTAATTGAGTTTGTTTCAATGTCGACGGATAGTGCCACCGTTTGAAATTTTAGCCGTTTACTGTGTACTTAAGTCTTGCCCTTTCTTAATATTCTTAGATGTGTTTGCACAACTACAAGGAAAATTCTCTTAATTTGACACCTAAAATGTTAAATCCGTCCATCCGTTATCAAATTTTGACTCCAAAAAGAAAACTGCTTGCTTATTAATATAGATTATTTATTAATATTTTTTACTTAACTGGTCACACTACTTGAAAAAGTGACCAGTTTATATATCTCAACAATTATATTATGATTGTACTGTGTTTTGTAATATAGGAAGTAAATTAATTTATTCATTAATTTATTTATTCAATTGCGGTACTCCTGTAGTGAAATTCCCTATAGAAATAATTCACATCTCCACTCTGATTTAGGTACCATTTTAAACAGATATACAGGTAGTTTTTAGGTTCCTCTACTTACTAATTTATTGTTTTAAATTTTTTTGAAGTGATTCATGAGGTTCTAGAGGAATGTTGCCTGGTGGTGCTACAAAATATTCTTCTTCTGACACTTTAGCATTGCTCATCACACCATGCCTGTTGTTTCCCTCAGTTATAATGTCCTCCCGAAGCGAAATAGTCCTGTAAACAATAAGAACCCATCAAAGTAAAGAACAACATTCACGTTAAGTTCAGGCTAAGTTATTAATGCTGTCGACTTTGTGGTAGGATTTAAGGTCCATGATAGCTGTGCTTTAACTTCCTCCCTCTCTGTGTATATGTATGAAAGCATTGTTTTCGCAAAAACTTACGAGTTTGAGTTTTAGGTAGAAAATATCCATTATGGGTCCCACTGAACTCGAAAAAGTGGTGTTTGAAGTGATGCCTGTATATGTATGAGTGTGTATGTGGATTTGTAGGGACAGAAACTACACATGTAGTCCGATTTTGATGAAATTTGGTATGTGGGTAGGCCTACTAATCCATGATAGCTCTAGTGGTTTTTTATTATTTTTTTTTTTTTTTATTCATATATTTAATGGAGATTTTCCCACAGAGTAACAGCAAATTCTGATTTTCAAACAAATGGCTCTGCGATTTCGATTATAATTCAGTAGGCCTAGGTACTATATTAAGGTTCTTTTGACTCTAAATAAACCCCCATTGCAGTAAAATTACAGTTAAATAAACGGTATCAGCAGTCAGACACACACTGTCTCCCATTAGCTTGTCATCAACCGTTATCATGAGTAAGCGATGAGAGCATATATGATATTTAATAGGTAAAATCACAAAAATTGCATTAACTTTTGAACCGTACTTTTTACAGGAATGGGGGTTGCACTATTTTGTTCAGAATTATAAGGACCATAACAGACAAATTTTAATCAGTACCGGTTATTTTTTTTTTTTTGGCAAATTCATCGTTGATTTTTCTGTTTTTTCATGGGTTTTTATTGGAAAATAACATAAGTTACAATAACTTTTGAACCGTAATTTTTGAAGCAATGGGGATTGCACTATGTTGTTAAGAATTATAAGGACCATCACATACCAACTAATTTCAATAAAAACTGGCTTTTTTGAAAATTTGAAGGTATATTTTGAAGGTCTGTTTTTCGGCATGTAAACCTACATTTATTAGAACGAGTTCGCGAAGCATGATCAGGCCATGGGAACAGTTGCTTTATGAGGTTTTTTGTTAAGAACAGTTTTTAGCGAATTTCCCATATAGGGAATAAGCTATTACCGTAGGTCTCATGGTAAGACCTAGACCCGGGACCGATTTACTTTTTCGTTTTGAGGTCCCCAGAGGCCAAAAACACTATCCGTTCAAATTCATATATATATATACAGGGTGGGGCAGAGTGGACTCCCTAGTTTCAATCAGTCGCTGAAGAGCGTGCGCACGAGTTAGCAGAGTGGGAGAGGTTTCATGTGGTGGGGGGAAAGACACCATTGTTAGTAGTCACCATGCCGTAGACTGGCGAGCATCGTGGTTTTGTAGTCGAAACATTCTTTAAAAATAAGGATAGTGTGGTGGCGACCCAGCGTGCATTTCGTAGACGGTTTGGTTTGAATTGTCATGATAGTGTTCCCGATGCTAAAACCATAAGGAAATGGATTACAAGTGTACGGGCGACCGAATCTGCAACTGAGGTTTACAAAGTTCGACCAAGGACCTTGGAAGCCCTTAAGGAAGCAATTGTTGATGTTATCACTGGAATAATGCCAGATATGCTGCGTAGAGTTTTTGAAAACTTCATTGAACGGCTGAATATGTGCATCGCTCGTCAAGGTCTTCACCTGGATGATATCATTTTTAAAACTTAATGAAAAATAAATGGCACTGTATTTAGATTTCAGAAATAAAAAAATTTTGTATTAATCTTGTATGGTTTTTATACAGTTAACCGATCAAATCAGGGAGTCCACTCTGCCCCACCCTGTATATATATATATATATTTATATATGTGTCCGTTAGCGCGATAACTCGAGCAAAATTGATCCGATTTTGATGAAATTTGGTACAAACGTGTAAACCTACATTTATTCGAACGAGTTCGCGAACCAGCATAATCGGACCATGGGATCAGGGGTTTATGGGGGGTTTTACGGGGTAAAAATGGGTTTTTCTCGTTTTTGACCCTAAAAACTTTAAATTTCTAAATTTCTCTCTAGACTATTTTGAAGAGCTTAAAAAAACAAATAATTTATTATATTGAAGTGTTTTTGAATGTTCATTGACTACGGAGAAAAATTAAAAAATTGTAAATTTAAAACTCCCATGTTATTCTTATGGAGAAAAAATAAACTGTTCTAGTTTGCTTGTTTATGGATATATTTTAATCAAATTTGGCAATTTGGTTTATTTCATACTAAGCTATCAATATTTCAATTGATAAAACACACCTCAACATCTTCCCCGTAGCAGTAAACCTAACTACAGTACTCACTAAAATTAATGTTATTTAAATAGGAAACAAATCTGAAAATTTGTAGGGAATATTTTAGTAGAAATCAAGCCGGGTAAATGGAAATTCGCTTAGTATGCAGGTTTGCTGCGACGGGGGTATTTTGTATTTTTGACCCTCAAAAGATACAATTTTACAATGTATCTTCAAACCATTTTGTAGAGCTTAAAAAAAACAAATAATTTAGTAGCCTACATAAAAATGTTTTTTACAGTTATTGGTTACGGAGAAAATAAAAAAAAATGCAAATTAAAAATCCCCATATTATTCTAATAGCGAAGATTTTTAATTATTGTTTTTTCCTTATTTATAGATACATTTTTATAAAATTGAGTAAAAATATTTGTTTCTTATCATACTATTATTATTTTATTAAAAGATACCGGTATACTATATTACCCTTTCTGTAGCAGCAAACCTAGGTACTAGTTAAACGTAATGTTATTTAATAGGTTTGTGAAAATCAAATCAAGCAAATGGAAATTTGCTTAGTATGCAGATTTGCTGAGGTGGGGGTGTTTTTATTCATACTTTCATTTATTTTCCTACGTACGGGAATGGAGTAGTCAGTTAAACTGTGTACAATTGAGAACAGCTAGTTTTTTAACACTTATAAAGACAAAATATTTTCTTGCAGTTTTAATGTGAAATACCCCCGCCGCAGCAAACCTGCCGACTAAGCGAATTTCCATTTGTCTGAATTTATTTTCAGTTAAATATATTTTAATAACATTAGGTTTAACGAGTACCTAGGTTTGCTGCTACAAGGAAACTAATAAAGTGTGTTCTTGAGTAAAATATTGATAGCTTAGTACAAAATAAATAAATTTGCCAAGTTTGATCAAAATATATTCATAAACAAGCAAACTACAACATTTGACAATATTCTCCATAAGAATAACATGGGAATTTTAAATTTAGGTACAATTTTTTTAATTTTCTCCGTTACTAATAATCGAACAAAAATACTTTTATATACTAAATTATTTGTTTTTTAAGCTCTTTAAAAAGGTCTAAAGAGAAATCGGGAAATTTTGTGTTTTGAGGGTCAAAAGTGAGAAAGCCCAATTTTTACCCCATAAAACCCCCCGTAAAGCCCCGTTCCCATGGTCCGATCTTGCTGGTTCGCGAACTCATTCAATTTAATCCCGCTTTACACCTTTAAACCAAATTTCATCAAAATCGGACGAAAATTACTCAAGTTATCGTGCGAATGGACACACATATATAGGTATATAGATATATAAAAATTTGAACGAATGGTGTTTTTGGCCTCTGGGGACATCAAAATGAAAAAGTAAATCGGTCCCGGGTCTAGGTATTACCGTGCCACCTACGGTAATAGCTGCTTCCCTATAAGGAAATTCGCTAAAATCATCTTGTAAACAAATGTTGAGAGGCCAAATATGTTTTATTCCATCATAGGCCTATACGATATGTATTTTAAATCCGATAATTTTACAATAAAACAGCAATTGTGACGATGTGAAAAGCGTTGAAGTGAGATTTGCGCCGATTCACACACTGATAAGTAGCCTACAGTAGAGAGTAATAGCTTTGACTATTAATATAATAATTCAGAATCCAATAGTCAATGGTAATAGTCAATTGAGAAGTGTATAGACCTAGTCAACAATACCACCTTCCATCGCATACCTGCCTCTTCCATAATTATTATCACCACAATTCAATTACTCATACTATACACAATTTCCAGTAGGTCTGAATAGATACTACCTAAAATAAAACGATATTATCCAATAAAATTCACAGTAGGCCTACACATAATATTAATTTGGTATCCTAACATCATTAAACGTATCAATTGCACTGAATCAATTGCTAAATAAATAAGAGTAAACAAAGAAAAGTAAAAACAATAACATATAGTTTGTTTTGAATTAGCTGTTTGGTTAAAATAACATTCATTTGAAAAAAGAACTGGTCACATGTTGAAGGAATTTAAAAAGTAAACACGCTAGTAAAGCTAGTGACGTAATTATCTATGTTAATAATTCATACCGTTATCAGTTCTAATATCTGTCATAATTACCCACCTATTGAATCAACCTACATCGTAATTTCCCATATTGATTTATTAAAAGTATAAGATATTTATAGTTGAAATAAAAGTGATATTTTGCCTACATCAGCGCCCCCACACGCAACCACAACTAAACACATGCCAAACAATTTTTTTTTTTATTTCATAAAAGGATGGTTTGTCTAATTAATTGCAGTATCCTAGGTCAATGATGCCGCTGTGTTCAATCTATGTCATCCATCAGTTTATCTTTGGATAAACCCCGGCTGAGGTTGTGGTGGTAATTTAAAATCGGGATTCCCAATTATTCTTGATCTCCTTTTCTATGACATCAATATTTCTGAGCCTAATCCAAATCAATCAATCAATCAATCAATCTTTATTTGCCATAAGGATACATTTACATATCATTGACAAAGTCTATTTGCAGTTTTCAAACCAAGTCTTAAAATAAACAATAAAATACTCTTACAGGCCAAATATTACAATTAACATTCAAATCCATTCACATTCTTAACTGAAATTAAAACCAAACTAAAGGACAATTTCTCCCAGTTTAAAATAATCATCCAGACTATAAAAAGGGTTCTGAAGTAGATAATTATAAAACATAGCCTTAAAT